ACAAAAATGTGCCCCCCCCCCCCCCCCCCCGCCCCCCCCCCACCAGTCGTCTGCTGGACGAAAGCGGCGAGGACGTGCGGCCCTTCATCGAGCGAAACCCTTTCCAACCGCGAGCCTCGTCCTGGTTATGCACCGAGGAGGAAGAACAACAAGACGAGATTGTGGCTTCCCCTCCGGCTAGGCTGTCTTTCTTGCAGGCGGTAGAGCTAGTGCTTACCACCGGCCCTCTGTCCCGGGAGTGGCGGGACGACGATGGGCGTGGTGGTTCCCCGGTGGTACAGGTGGCAGATGCATCGGAGGAGGCTTCCCCGTCAGGAGAAGGAGTTGCACCACCAACGGCAGGCAGGTGTGAAGGAGGGCGGTCAACCTTCGAGGGGTTTGGTAAAAATGTGGAGGCGTCGGTGGTGGCCTCGGTCCTAGAGCTGTTGCGAAGGGCGACGGCGGCGGCGGAAAGGTGGGGACTTTCGCCGCAGGAGCGGGAGAGGCTGGCTTTGTGGTCGAGCGCAGCAGCAGCAACGGCTTCCTAGGTTTCGGGGTACCGCCGTGCTGACTGATCGCCGGCATAACGTGTTTTTTTGTTTGTTGGGCTGCATGCTGACCGAGTATTTTTTTCGTCACAAACACAATGCACGTTACATATGACGCCGGAAGCGGTGAGAGGTTGAACAGTGAGCGAGGGACAAGCCGCGCGGTTTGACCATCGAGCCTTCAGACGAGTCCTTCCCTCTGGTATTTGTTCTACCGTTGACGTGTTCACAACTTGCTCTCGCGGGCTAACTTCGCTTTGTGGCGTTGGCTTTGAAGCCGCGAAACGTGGCGCGATAAGGAAAAACAGAAGGCGCGGACCCGCGGTTTCAGGCGAAAACAGAACAGTCACGGTGAAATACTGTGGACGGACCGCTGGCTCTATTCTTCAATCATGGCGCAAAGTGATACATCCTCACCTTAACTTTCGTCTTCCATAGCAACCTCTCCTACCTGGACAGCACCTCATGGGCGTTCCGTCTCTTGCGCTTTTTTTTTTTTTTTCAGAAGCCCAAGGGAAGAAAGTTTGACCGTGCCCTCGTGAACGGGCTTTGGCTCGTGTCGCCGCCTTTTGTTAGTCTCGGAAGTTTTCAACCCCGCATTTCCAAGCGAAATGAATGCTTTCGACGGAACCAATAACGAAATAGACCCCGTCCAACGAAAAACAACCTAAAATCCACCGACAAGCAAGGTAATGAAAACGAACGCCACGCCCACAGAATACTAATTTTATAAAATAAAACTGGGAAGCAGCACAACAACGCCGGATCGCACCAACAACACGGGGACGGCAATCGCGACATGTGGCCACAGCGCAACGCGACGCGAGAAAAAAAGAGCAAGAGGGGATGGCGACAAGCCGTCGAGCAAGAGAACCTTATGGTATAGACCCACTGCCTTCGTATCCCCACAGTACTAAAACTCGAGGGAATACCCTACGAAGACCGTGTGCAGCATTGGAGAGCAGGGGCACCACACAAAACACGAAACCCCGCCTTTGCCTCCCTAATCAACCTTCAGTGGGCAAAAGCCACAGGGAAAACACGGGGGCCAAAACGAAAACAGGCTTGGGGGGGGGGAGGGGACATACGCACAAGACAAGAACTTACAAAACTGAATTTAACACACCATAAAAGCAATAGTAGGCATCAATACGCATCAGCCTCTTTGCATTTTTGCTCTTCCACCTCCTCAAGAAACTTTTCGCAACAACACTCAGTCCGTCGCCGCCGTTCTTCGAGGATTGGCTGCAATCTTCATGAATGCAGGCACCCCCGCCCGACCTTTAGTCGTCACCCCACCCTTGGGAGCGTTCGCCAACTTACCCGCCCGCCGCCTACGATACAAGCCGAGACCGGGAAAAACGAACATGAACACACGCAAAATTGTCCAGATAAAAACCCAGCAACGTCCCGCTCTTGCCTACGTTTGCTATCAAGATGACCCGAATGTCTCACACACAGAATACATCGGCTGAGCAAACAGCTACTAGGTGCCACCGAAGACCCAAAGGACCGCGACTCCCGCCACACCTCACCACCGTAAAACTACCCCCCTCTCCCCCCCCTGCACAGTGCTCAGAACTGTCTCTGGAAATGAAAGCACCAGAAAATAAATAAAGTCATACGCAGCTGTCATCCGTACGCAAGGAAGTAAGCACAAGATGCCGAACACCCTTACCAGGATGCAGCGCACCCTTCATGCGACTCGCCGAATACCTCACGGCGCTTCGCGCTTGGTGATGTGAGAGCCTGGTCCGGTGAGAACCCGGCGTGCTCCGTCCCGGCTTTGTAGGGATGCGAGGTCAATGGTCTAACGACTACGGCATGCACGACCATGAGTACACTCCCCCCCCCCCTGCGGCTCCCTCCCCAGCGCGACCCATCCATGCCAATAAAAAAAAGCATGCCCGTGGGCTACAGCAGTACCTCGTACACACCTCACCGCCCCCTTGATGTATATTCAAGACTCGGGGTGACGCTTGTCCCAACGACCAGCAAGAGACGCCAAAGCCAACTCAACAATATTTTCCCCCAACGGCGTTGCCTGTTCCCCTTAAAAAAAATCATAAGCAATGTTCGACAAGAAACACATGGTACGTGTCCCGTAAAGGAAGAACGCTTCAGAAGCCAGATAGATCTACAGGACGCGATCGATCGCGGAGCAAGTAATTTCTCCCATGTATCTCCGATTATCCGACGAGCGTCCCCAAGAAACCCCCAACCCAGAAAACTCGGTTTGCGTCGAGGCGCGTGTGTGCTGCGTTGCCCGCCGGCCCAATGTGGTACGCCAAAGCGAGACCACCTCAAATTTCCCTCAACTCCCCCGCCCACACACACACTCACACGTCGGGCCCAGTTTCGCCCTTTGGAACACATACGCGTACCCCCCCCTCACCCCCTCACCCCCCCCCCCCCCCGGGTGGGAAAACTCTTCC